CTTTATGTGCCGTTTGGGCCATGGATCGGTAAAGACTTAGCCCATGGCAGGCGTTGGCCTTGATAGCTCCAACTTACAAGCCGCAGTCATCTAGCATCTAACGGGATCCATGCGTGGGTGCGGGGAGGGGCGTGCTTCTGTTTTGCTTCTCTGCTTGCGCCATGGATTCGGGGGGGAAACACACCGACCAGGCTGTTTTTATCCTCGGGCCTCGCGATTATGATGCTTGGAATACATAACATGGCATCCTGTCAGCACAAATCCTCTCTTCATCGCTTTCGTCAAGCGCTCTCTCACCTTGCCTTTTGCTCCTCGTTGACTTCGTCATCGTCTTCTTCTTCTTCTCGACACCTATACTCGAGACTGGAGTTGAGTTTATCCTTGACCGAGTTGCTCCCTCGCATTCTTGTCGCCTCTTGTCGAGGAACACACCCAGAGAGTGTTTTGCATCAACAATGTCAAACCTCACGTTTGAGCAATGGACGCATACGCCAGAGGCCCAGGAGTGGTGCGCCGACAACCCAGACTCGAGCATGTGCGACACGGTCGAGACGCACTATCACTACGAGCTCACGAATGAGGCCAACCTCGCCTTCGCCATCATCTTCGCCATCTCTCTCATCTGCTTCCTCGTCGTCTTTGCCATCACCAGGAGGGCCGTTGCCTTTACCCTCTGTCTGTCTCTGGGAGTCATCTGCGAGGTTGCTGGCTATGTCGGCCGGATCATGAGCTACAACAACCCATGGGCCGACGGTGGCTTCATGCTACAGATGGTTGCTTTAACGATTGGTCCTGCTTTCATGGCTGCTGGTCTCTATCTCTGTCTCCGTCGCATCGTTACTGCTTACGGCCAGGAGAACTCGTGGATCCGCGCGCGCAGCTACACATTGATAGTACGTCCTCATTCTGCCCCGGGCTCCTGGGCTGCTAGCCAATCAGTTCTCAAAGCTAACACTCTGCCTACAGTTTGTTCCCTGTGATATCATCTCCCTTATCCTCCAGGCCATGGGCGGTGCTGCAGCTGGCGCTGCCACCACCATCGAGGACATGCAGCGCGGCGCCGACATCATGACAGCCGGGCTTGCATGCCAGGTCGCCACGACGGTCGGGTTCATGATCGCCGTGGCCTTCTTCATCCGCCGCACCCGCCGGCGCTACAGCGAGCTCGGCTGGGACGCGTACGAACAGAACCCGTCGCTGGTGGCCATGCGCGGGCGCTGGACCTTCCATGCCTTCATGTACGCCCTGGCGCTCTCCACCATCATGATCCTCTGGCGAAGCTGCTTCCGTCTTGCGGAGCTGGCGGACGGATGGGGCGGGCCCGTCATGCAACGTGAGGATCTCTTTATCGGCTTCGAGGGTGTGCTCATCGTCGTGGCGGTCCTCGCGCTCAACGTCTTCCACCCCGCCGTCTGCCTGGGCGAGGTCTTTGTCCTGCCCCCTGAGCCCAGCAGCCGCGGAGGCATCTTTGGTATTTTCAGGAGAAACAGGCAGCCAGAGGAGATGAAGACCGAGACATTTGACGAGAGTGCCTAGAGTGTGCCACAGGTTGGCGATGCTTCCATGATTGTATATCTAATTTGTTTCTCCCGGGGCTGTATGGGTTTGGAGGCATTTTATTTCCTTTTTCTCTTTCTTTTGTTGTTGGATAGAGCATCACAGTTCATGGGGGCGCATGTATAGGATAAGACAAAAGAATAAGGACGACTCGATCATAACAATAGACAGCTCACGGTCATATGTATGGGCTCCAAGCAATCGATTAGGTGTGGCTGAAAGTTTTCCATGCAGTCTCATCCTGTGACGGTAATGGGCAGTATAGGTAACACTGCATGACTTTGCCGCCGTGCACAGAGTGAGACGTTCAGGATGGTAACAGGCTTTCATTTAATCCCAGGTTCTCCTGTTAGGGAGAATGAACCCGACATGTCACTGGATAGGTAGGTGTCGAAAGTCAATTGCTTGTCCATGAGAGGCGGCTTGGAGGACAGATGGCACAGCTACGCTCGATTGAGAAGCAGACGGCGCAATCCGAAGGACAACGGTACATTTTCCTTCGGGAACCTACAGAGTCAGCCAATCTGTTTCTTTGAAATTGGCCATCGATGGATTATATATATTTCATTCGCCGGGTGTGTGTTTTCGATATCCCTGCTCTAGGACCCCTATCGCTGGAATTCGTGATGGTAACTATTTATAGGAGGCTAGATCGCTGGAACGTCTCGGGCAGACAGCGCGTCAAGATCGGCAGATGTAGGTAGGCGGCCCTAGAGGCGGGCTTGGCCCAAAACGGGCCCGCTAGGCCAAACACGTGCATTCCACCTCATCCTTCCTGTCCGTCCATCCAACGGCATTCCATCATGGCTGGCCGCCACTAACAAAAGCTTGATGCGCAGCCTCCGAAGCCTCCGCGCTTCTACTTTGGGTACTGGCTCTGCATCATGTCTCGCAGGACGTGCGCTCCCGTACCGCTTCTGAAATTGCCATCGCCCATATGTCTCATGCGGGCAGCACCTCGGTCGCGTTTGCATACCATGGCCGGTGCGGAACGCGCTGTTGTTCGATGCTGCCGGATATCCAATGTGCCTGGGCAAAGCATCCCATCTCGCGCTGTCTCGCAATGTCAATCCCAATGCCAAAGCCAATGCTGTGGAAGTGAAGATCAGCTGCAAGCAGCACAGCATCTTGCGGCCACCCACCTACCCATCTCAGCACCTGGCGCCCTGATACCTTTGCCCTTGCAGCCCTGGACATGTATGATGACTTAGTAGATACTAACTTCCCACACTCAATACGAGAACCTTGGTAGTACTTGTCCATCTGTTCGTTCAAACCTTCCCAACGCAGGTCCTACTCCTCCTTTCATACATACCTTGCCTAGCTTTGCTCTCATCATCCCGACGCCATCCCCGTCCGCATCCAGGTGTCCTCTCCGTCATCCCAATCCGACCATCCGGCTCTCCTCTACTCTACCTCTTATTACATGTACTCTGCTCCGTTCTCTACTGCCTTCCTCCTGGCATTCTTTTCCATCCATCAAGCTGGGTCCAGGAGGATCGCGGCCGTTATATTTATTCCACTGTAATTCAGCTTGATCTAATCCACCTCACATTCGCCAATATGTTGTCCCATCGCCCGGGAAGAGCCTTGTGCAAGCTGGCCGCGGCAATATTGGCGCTGGGCCCGGCTACTGCCAATGCCTACGACCTGGACCCGAATTCAACAGGTGATTCCCGACTCGTCCATTCGGGTGTCATGACTGTGCTGGGTATACTGACTGGCCTCATCATTGCAGACTCGATCAAAGAAATCTCCAAGCAGATGACTGAAGACATGCTCACATTCTACCAAGGCGACAAGCCAGGATTTACCCCCGGCCTATTGCCTGAGCCTTATTACTGTATGTTGGCCCCCCCGGTCTTTTCCTGGCCATGACACAATGAACTAAATGAATCGACGTGTAATAGGGTGGGAGGCTGGCGCCATGATGGGCTCCTTGATCGAATACTGGTACTACACCAAGGACGAATCCTATGTTGATCTGACAAAACAGGCCCTGCTTTTCCAAACGGGCCCCAACAACGATTACATGCCCCCGAACCAAACGTTGACCGAAGGCAACGACGACCAGGGCTTCTGGGGGTTGGCTGTCATGTCCGCGGCCGAATACAACTTCCCTCATCCCGAACCGCACCAGCCGCAGTGGTTGGCTCTCGCGCAGGCCGTTTTCAATACCCAGGCGGCCAGGTGGGATACAGGAAACTGCAACGGTGGTCTTCGATGGCAAATCTTCAACTGGAACAAGGGTTTCGACTATAAAAACTCCATCTCCAACGCTTGCTTCTTCGCGCTCAGCGCTCGTCTCGCCCTCTACACGGGCAACCAAACGTACGCCGACTGGGCTGTCAAGACGTGGGACTGGATGGTGGGCGTGGGTTTCATCGACCATGAGTGGTGGTATGTTTACGACGGCGCGCACATCCCGACCAACTGCACCAACATCGTGCGTTACCAGTTCTCGTACAATGCCGGCGGCTTCATTCTGGGTGCCGCAGCGTTGTACAACTTTACCGAGGACCAAGTGTGGAAGGATCGGCTGGACAATCTCCTCGAGGGCTCCAAGGTCTTTTTCGACGGTCCCAACAAGGACATCATGACAGAGGTAGCCTGTGAGCCCGTCAACCTCTGCAATGTCGACCAGCAGTCCTTCAAGGCCTATCTCAGCCGCTGGCTGGCTACCGTCACCAAATGGGCGCCGCACACGTACGACACCATCATACCCTACCTCCGAACTTCTGCAGTGGCGGCGGCGAAGCAGTGTGTAGGCGGTGAAAATGGCCGCATGTGCGGCTTGAAGTGGAGCGAAGGAAAGTATGATGGCTCAACAGGAGTGGGACAGCAGATGTCAGCCATGGAAGCTGCCCTCACGTGCATGATCCAGGATCGAGCAGCCCCTCTCACCTCGGGAACTGGAGGTACAAGCGAAGGCGACCCCAACGCGGGCAGTGGTGGCGACAGTCCGGCCGACACCACACCCTTGGAGGGATGGCAGGCCAGGAAGATCACGGCAGGAGACACGGCCGGTGCCGCCATCCTCACCATAGTCATTATCCTGGGCCTCGTTGCCGGTATAATCTGGCTCATGTTGGATGAAACGTCTGATGAGAGCGTGATAGCCCAGATGAAGAGTATAGGCAAGGCAGCGGCGAGCGCACCAACCTCGATTGCTGCGGTCGGTGCTGGAGGCGTAGTAATGGCGACATCAAGGAAGAATGAGCCTGTAGAGAAGCAACCAGTGCTTGTCAGTGCAAGGCGGCAAAATGCAGGCTCGCGAGGGGACTTGGAACCACAGGCATCAGCCGCCACGGTTCCAACTCTTGGTGCCACCACTCGTCGGCGGATGTAGATATGTAATTTGATCACCAAAAAGAAATGACAGAAATTCGAGACAAAACAGAAAATCAAGCAAAAAATTCGAACGGTTTGAAACCGCTAAGTTCTGACAAGAGTGGGATTCACCCACGCAGATCTCTCTACTGGAATTTGAAGCCAGCGCCTTAGACCACTCGGCCATCTTGCCCGGCTAATTGTTGGACGATGCAGCGGACAGAAGCACTATGAGCCTTTCGAGGATGGCATCTAAGCAAGTGGTTGTCTTTTGAGATGCATAGGATTGACTGAATGGGATTTCTTTGTTGGTTCAAACTCGGAATCATCACAGGAATGCGATCGTGGGGTTGGTAGTCAGCAAGTTGCTGCATGGGAACATGGTGACATGGCGGCAGCCGACAGCAGCTGGCCAGCCGATTATGAACTGAACCGGGGGTTTGCAGGATGTACTACCTACCTAGCAGATACCTGCACGGGTAGGATAGATACACGTAGGTAACCTACTCCTCATCCGATTGTGACCAGATTGTCAGTCCTGCGCAAGTTCCAATGTTTGGCGTGCTTGGTGTTGTGTCGTCGGCAGAGGCAGCAGCAAACTTGGCATCCACAACCTCGCTTGTCTCATACCCTCGTACTATAGTAGGTCTTCTTTGCGAAACGACATCGTTATGCGGTGGTTGTTTGTCTAGGGTTTACTGACCTCTTGCATAGCGATGAAACAAACACTTTAGGTTGCCTACCAACGAGCATGGTAAAGCATGCCATATTATACAACAAGAGAACATGGCAGATATGGAAATAACAGAGACCATTTGTGCTTGCTGAGTAACTAAGCAAAACCATTCCCTCTGTGAAGCATTGTGAGGTCTTCATCGTCACTTTACCCCCACAAGCAATCAGGCGGGCAACTGATATGTCTCGAGCAGCCGGTCTTTCTCCCTCTGGACAAACACTTCGAGTGAACTAAGGGGAACACCCCAGGTGCCCACCTTGTCCATGTCAATAAAGTTCAGGAGCTCTCTCGCAAGAAGCTGCCCCACTAGGAAAGGGTTGTCTATCTGAGCGTTGATGGCTTCGTCATCCAGATAGACCAACTTCAGGTCCCGTCCAACGACGGTCGAGATCTTTTCCAGAATCTCGCCATCTGTAGAATTGCAGGTGAGCAGGGAGGCCCTTTTTCGGCAGGGCAGGGAGAGCGTGGTGACTTACATGTCTTGGTCTCGTCGGCAATCTCGAGTTCCTGGGCATGAAACTTTGCGGGATCGAAGATGGCGGCGGCTACAAATTTACCAATGGTTATGGGGTCGATGCAGGGCAGCTTCGTGTCCTCTTGAAGAGCAGTCTGTACCACGCCAGTCTCCCTGAGCCCGGGGTACATGCTAACCGCGGGCATGACGTAGTTGGTGTAGAAGTTCCCAGGACGGATGATGGTCCAGAACTCAAGGCCAGAGTTGATTACTTCCTTCTCGATAGCCTGCTTCGACAGGAGAAACGAGGCGGTGAGAGTGTTGGGGTCCCAGCGGGTGAGCTTCTCGGGCGCGTTGACGGTCAGGCCGCTGGAGAAGATGGCGTGCTTAACGCCGGCGGCTCTGGCAGCAACGAGGAGGCTCTTGGCCCATCGCAGATCCGCCGTCGAGTCCTGGAAGTTGGGGTAGAAGTTGAGGAAGATGGCCGAGCAGCCCTGTATGGCGGCGTGTATGGCGTCCTTGTTGTCGAAGTCGCCGGCCCAGAGCTGAGCGCCGAGCGCCGCAAACTCCTTGGCCTTTGGGGCAGACATGTCTCGGGCGAGGGCGTGGATGTGCGCGCCTCTCTGGAGGAGCTCCCGTGCGACAAAGCCGCCCTGCGTGCCGGTGATGCCACAGACGAAGACGTTGGGCGTGGCCATGATTCTGTTATGGGTGTACAAGTTGAGGGAATGATTGTCTGGAAGATGTGCTGATGATGAGAAACAAGTTGTCTGTTGGGTTCTGATGGCCCTATATATATAATAAAGCATGCATACCCCTACCTTGCAATGCCGGGCGGTTTATATTTGTACAGTTCCATCGCCGTCACGTCACCTATGTAAGTATCGACATCAGCGCATTGAATGTCCGAATGTGGAAATCCGCCTACGACCCAGTACGGCGAGAGGTGCGGAATTCCGCCAACGTGTGGGGATCCGCTGCCTGGGGGACTTTGGATCGTCGAGCCCCTAGAGGCCAAGGGTCTCTCGAGGCCTTCTTATACACGTCGTCCGCCATCCCACTTGCTCCAAGGTTCAGTCTCTACTCTATTTCACTAGTCCCCCGTCGCGTACAAGCGCAACTCCGACATCTAGGCGGAATTCCTGTCAAATTGGCCAAGGTTGCGGACAAGAGACACATGTCGCTCTCGGCTCGTGAAAGACGCAACCCGCCCCCTCGGCGGAAGTCTTGCAGCGCGTGCATCAAATCGAAGCGGCGCTGCGACACAGCTCTTCCGGCCTGCCTCCGCTGCTCCCAGCGCCGTATCGCGTGCGTGTACCCCGCGCGCACAGAAGCTACGCAGCTGGAGCAGTTTCTCTCGGAACAATATGACATGCCCATACTGAGCCAAGTAGACGCGATGCCGTTACCACTCATAGCTGAGAAAGATGCAGCGCCTAGCGCCTTCTCGTTCAACGACGCCCCAGAAGCACCTCTCGACTCGGTGGCGGTGCTCCTGGCAGATGCTGACCCTCCTTTCATCGACGTTGCGCCCTTCTTGGAGCTGGATGCATCAACACCCATGGATCTGATTCATCAGACGTCATGGCTTGACAGACGGGACGAGACTCGGACTGGCATCGTGGCCGACATCATCGCCCAACGGATGCGGTATGCCATGGACCAGTTGAAGAACGCCCCCCACATGTTTGTCTCCGAGACTCGCGCTCCATGGTGCCATTCGCAGCTCTACTCTGAAGAGATGCCAGCATGTATACGAGGTAAGGCTATTTCGAGGTGCTGCAGCCGCAGTGGGTGAGCTAACGGGCACGTACAGATGTACACGCATGTTGCGGGCTGTACATGGCCAAGAACGCCGTGAACGGAACCGTGATTCTGCGTTCCATCGAATCCCGGGTGCAAGAGCTTCTGGCAACGCCGCTACCAACCACAGAGGCCGGGCTGATGGCCCGGGTACACTCGTTGCTCCTCTACCAAATCATACGTCTCTTCGATGGCGACATTGCCAGCCGAGCAGCCGCGGAGCGGAGCATGCAGGCCCTCGAGGACGCGGCGCTGGCGCTGCTGCCGCACGTCCAGTGGTGCACCGAAGGCCCGGAGGGCGAGCTGGAGCTGTTCCCGATGGGCCCGACTAAAAGGTTCTGGCAGGAGTGGCTGCTGCATGAGTCGGCGCGGCGGACGGTGCTCATGGCCTTCTTCTTCAACCAGACGTACCGGCTGGTGTCTGGGCAGCGGGAGAGCATGGTTTGCGACGGCAAGCTGGGGCTGTGCCACTCGTGGACCGTGTCTGCGCATCTGTGGCACGCCGAGACGCCGCTCGAGTTCGCCCGGGCATGGAGAGAGCACGACCACTACGTCGTGACCAACGCGCAGTTTAGCCTGATGCTGAAGAAGGCCGAGGCGAGCGACGTGGACATATTTGGGAGGATCTTCATCTCGTGTTTGCTGGGGGTTGAGGAGGCAGCGGGATGGTTTGAGTCCCGGGGTGGGAGTTTGTGAAGTGATGTATCAGGGAAATTGTTGGTTGCAGATGGACCCAATATGGTGTTCTTCTTCGACTAAGACCAACAAACCCCAGTATTATTATATCCGTACATGATCATACGATTGGCTCTTTATTGCTGTATTACAACCTACCTCATTTTTAGAAAAGCGTCCCGAATACCGCTGTGTAGCAGGTAGCCCTACGGTACATAGGTATTAGAAACGATGCGTTGGAGGACTGTTCTAGGGTAACCGTTGACGCCTTCGTGGGGAACTAATTGGTGGAGTTGGAGGGTTTCTGCCTGACCTCTAGGAGCTACCGACCTAGCGAGCAAGGGTGCCTGGCGACCCCACCTCGAAACAGGCAAGGGAAGGAAGGAAGGAAGGATGAAGGAGTTGGAGATCGACAAACCTCATCTTCTGTTAGACGTTATGGATACAAGGCGTCAAAACAGGGAGAGGTAACAATGTATTCTGCAGCTCATGCCCTGAATCCAATGCCATGACCGGAGTGATGGGTGAGAGAAGATGACCCATGTCCCATGACACACAAAAAAACAGGTGACAAGTGACATATGACGGATGGCAGATACGAACGTGTCAGTCCCGACGACGTGGAAAAGAGAGATAAAGTTGAAGGAGGAACTGCTTGCTCGCAGATTACTTACTTACATACTTTTGGGCAGCAGCAACAAGCGACAGAACCATAACTCAGCCCAATAGGGTCGGCTACGAACCAAGAAAGGCCCAAGACGCACATCGACCCAACAGACAGGGTTGGCGTTGCCCAGTGCGTGTATGAAATAAGGTAGGTGAGACGGCTTGGGATGGGGCGTAAGGACCCCTCCCCAAAATAAAGGAACCAGCCAGAGGGACAAAGCCAACACCTGGAAAAGTCGGCAGACCAGGAAGACCCTGACGGAGAGCACAAGGCAGGCCGAACGACAGATGCATGCATGAGCAGCCCCCCAGATATCCGGCGGAAATGTGCCGAACGTGTCAACGTCGGACCCTCGAAACGGGCCTCCTCAAGGGGGAAGCCGGGACGGGAACATGGGCATGGCATGACCTGCTTGATTTTCTACTGTGCATACACCAGTGCGCACGTTAGTTGTATGGAGGCACATGGTTCGTTCAGCTGAGCAGGCCCCTTGTTGGAGTCGTTGCTCGTCCACGCTCAGGGAAGGGTCTAGGGTTCCTTGGGTCCTCCCCCCCTCACCTCCACTATATACCTCCACCTCGAGGGGCTCCCGTTGTTGCACGTCTTGCCGTGCCATTTGCCATCCTTATTATTGCCGTGTTATTACATAGCTTGCTCTCTCTCTCTCTCTCTCCTGGCTCACTGCCGTGCGAGTGTCCCTGTATCCGTTTCCTGTCGTGTAGCATAATAGTAGGGGATTCGGACTATTTCTTTCAGCCCTTGTCCACCAAAACCCAAAACCCAAAACCACCAATCAACCCTACCCGTCACCACGATTGTCGAATTGATCATCGTCGGCAGACGCAATCCGTCCTCTCG